AAAGTTACAATTATTACTAAGTTAATAATACTTACTATAATTATAGCACAGATTTTTTTTGAACTAACTTTGCTTTCCAGTCTTCTGTTCCTTTGATAGCATAATTAGTAAGATTGGGCTTATGCACATTCCTACGTATGTCTACTTTGTTTTATAGTTTTTGTTTGATCACAATGATTTATTGCTTGTAAAGCTGGCAGCTTTCCAGCCAAATCTTATAAGATGAAGCAGTGCTGTACAGATGTGTATGCTGTTAACAAGACTCTGGTTGGATTTTTGTTTTGACAGTGACTATGTATGTGAAGCTTTGTAATAAGGTAGGCGTTTGTTCCCTTGAATTTACAATTTAATGAAACTCAGAGAAATAGCCACCAAGGTCCAAAATTCTGAGACCACAGCTTGATACTGTGTCAAAATATTCTGAAATTCTTCTATTGCTTTTACTTGGGAAAATAAACAAACTTTGTCTCAGACATACAGACTACAGGCTTATCTACATTTAGCTAACTCCTTTTAAGGACACAATTTGCCAACCTCTGGTGTTCTGAGCATATTTTCGTAGTATATGTATTTTTTTATAACTAGATTTTCCTTCTTCTTTGAAAGCACAAAACTTTGAAAACAGCTTACAGCTTTTAAGTAAGCTTTAAGTAAGCCTTTGAAAGGCCCAGAAGAAGAGACACGTAGAATCACAGAATGGTTTGGATTGGAAGGGAACTTAAAGATCATCTAGTTCCAACTGCCCTGCCACAGTTTGGTTCCATCGTTAATTTGTCTGTGGGATCCTGGTCATCTCCACTGAACACACATGAGCCCACTCTGATTTGGAGCAAACCAACTGGCAGTGCTGTTGAGGAAACCTGGGCATACAAGAGAAGGAAGTTTGCTCCAGGATCTACACCATGGCAAGTTTCACCTTCTCTGCCTAAGGCAGCCCCTCAAGGGTATCTCAGCAGGCCGCCTTACCTCACCTGTTGAGTTCTGCCTCAGATAATCCTACTTGCTGTCATGCACCACTCTGCACAACACAGCTGTAGCTGCACGCTGTCAGAACACAGGTCTGGCAGAGAAGCCCTTTTATTGTTTAGCCTCCAGGGTAGTTTTACTTTGGCAGCTTTAAAATAAATAAAATACAAGCTGATACTGAAACCACCATGGAGCTCTTGGGAGGCCAGAGGATATGAGCCCCCAGCCAAATACTGCTGCATGTGTGAAAGTGATCGAGGTTCAGATCATTGTTCTGGGAGGGATATCTAGCAGGTGGGCTATCATACCAAGTAATATTCATCAAGGTTAAGAGGCCCAAAGTGTCCTGTACAAACATACACAGTGCCAGTTACAGCTTCAGTCTGTGCCCTGCTGTGCCAAGCTGCCCCAGATCTCTGGCAGTGGCAGCTGTGTGGTGATACTCAATGGAAGGCTCCTCCAGCACCCACCTGACCAGCCAAATGATGCCCCTTATTAACCGTTCACGACTTCAGGGCATGAGGGAACAATGTATGTGCTTCCGGGTTGTTTGGGTAAGAAAATACCACCCAAATATGGGGTTGCACACGGCATTACACATGATGAAGACTGAAAATCTATTTCTGATATTTGATGTATCCTGGAAAATCACATTTCTCACTGGAAGAATGGGTTGTGGAAAATACATGAAGCATGAATACGGTCTCTAATTTATTATGCCATCTGTGATTCTCCCACAGTAGTCTACAACAGCCTGAAAAATGAGACTAGCCCATGCTGCTCACATAATCATAGTATAATAATCAGTGTTTTCATAGAGTGCAGCACGTGGACGTGTGAATTTCTTCACCCATAGGTGAGAAATGTCTACTACTGAAAGTTCCAGTGGTGAATTTACCCTGATCTGACTGTTGACTGATAAAGTATATTGGCAATTTCAAGTCTCCACAAGGTCACGTTGCCCCTTCTCTTAACAGTTGTGAAATCCTAGAGGATGGGGAAGGTGGCTGGTGCTGAAATGCAAGTATCAGGTCCCAGCAGATGGTCTCGGATGTGGCTTCTGGATTCACTGCCAGTGATGCCAGCTGTAAAGCACTATGTAGTTTATGTTGAGTGGTCCAACCAATCACTTCTAGTCTCCTAGATCTAAGACTTGTTCTGCAGAAAGGGGGAGGCATGGGCTGTTGAAACCGTGTCTGTGTTCTAGTGCAAGGCTTGAAATACAAGGTGTTGATGACTGTACTTGGTTGTCTTTTCCACTTTTTGAAGGATGCAAGTGTTCATCCATGAAGTGGTAGTTCTTACAGACTCACACTAAAGAATAAGGCAAGTCTGCCTAACAACAGGTCTCAAATAGTGGCTTCTTCAGTGCAGCATGAAGAGCAGCAGAAACTACAGGTGTAAGCATAATGGCAAGCAGCATATATTTTTTCCAACAAATGCCTAGCAGTTTGATTGCCAATATTTGACATTAGTGCTACAGAATCAGCACAGAGGCATGCCTGAGGCAGCAAGCAGCGAGTGCAATGCCAGCTAAACATCCCAGTGTCTTTGTAGGTGTGAGATGTTGAGGGTTATCAAGTCAGGGTGTACTCCATCTGAGGTGAGGCGTGTTGTAAGGCAGTCCCTTGAATGACACTGATTGGAGCTGGTTTGCACCAGTGGGCCCAGAGAGGTGTGCTCTCCCTGCCAGGAGAGAGGTCGTGAAGTCGTGCTCTTAAGGATTAGTCTGCTCATCTTGCAACAGTTACTGTGGGTCTCAGAATCACACTGGGCAGGGAGGGTTGTCAGCCAGCCCTCAGATTCAGCAATCAATATTGTGTTCCTTGCCAGCTTTTAGCTGGGAGGAGGGGATTTGGAGCAATTCTGTTACTTCTGGTGTAGGGCATGCTGCCAGAGACAAGCATACTGCATGTTCTCAACTAAGACCATCCCTGATTTTAAAAAGCAGAAGGGGTGGTGTTTTATTTATTGCTTTATATTGCAGCAAGGGCTTTTTTAAACTAGTTTCATATGACTATTTTTTGTTGATTCAGCTTTTAACCATCTTGGCTCAGGTTTTTTTTGTGATTGGGGTGGTGACCCTATATTATTATTCACTTGCAGAATAACAATGTGAATTGTAACTCTATTCACTTACTGTCTGACAAGGGATTGTCAGACAAGTTTGTATAGCAACTGCAGCAGGTATATCTTGCATTCTAACAAGAGGTTGACATCAAGTCCAGTCAAAGGTCTGCCTTTTTCAGAGATCATAAAGTTCTTTTTGACTCATTATCTGACGCAAAAAAGATGCCAAATGGTGACTGAATGATTCTGTAATGGAATTTCTTAAAACGCCAAATACGAAACAAGCTTTGACAACTGCTTGGGGTTACCACCAGGAATTTACAAAGAGAGACTTCAGGCCTTGCAGGCAAGTAACACACAGAAGGAAAGTAGTTCTTTCATGTGCTTTCCATTGAATGAAAAGTTGACGTAAATCATGGTTGTTTATGTGTGGCTTAAATAAATGATGTGTTTGTGGCTAGAAGATCTGAGAAGGCTATAAAGAACAATGAGGAAAACCACTTTTGGCTTTATAGAGTAACTGAAGAATACACTAAATTGAAATCTGTTTTTAACAAGACCGTGTGTGCTATTACTTAGTACAAAAGCAAGACTTCTTTTGTAGACATCAGTACTTACAGGAGTTATAATGTATGATGCAGCATTCCATGCTTCAGGGGCAATACATGTTTGCACAAGCGCTGCGAGTCAGGACCCAGGTAAGTAATACTGAACACTGCAACCAGCTTGCAGGTATCCTGCTGGAAACTTCCCTGATTAAGTGCCTTGGTTGCTGCTACCTTTCACCTGGCTTTTCATCAACATGTGGAAATCTAAGCTGATGTGAAGGAAATATGTCTGTCTAAAAGCATCCGAGGTTATTGCTGCTTCCAGCCTCTTCTTTCTCAGCCTTGATACTCCCTGTACTCCTTTGTGTAGTTTGATTTACACCCACTTGACAACACATGCTCTTCATTCTTCTTCAATTAATTTCCTTCCAAATGGGGAAAATGTCAGTCAAAACCAAAAACGTCTGCCCCTGCAAGCCAGCTTTTTGAGTGTTTTCTGTCAATTAGCCCTCCCTTCATTATGACTGCCTTGGCCCAGGCGTGTGAGTTATGTCATGTAACAGTGAGTCCCCTTGTGACCTTTGACTTTTTCAAGGTTCCTCTGAGGGATGAAGTTTGCTCAACAATAAAAGTTCAGCCTGAAATTTTCGGGCTCCAGTTGCAAGGTGTTGCCTTTGATGGGGTTTTGTCCTGTCCTGTAACTGGTTTGGACACATGGGTCTCCACAGCTTCCTTGAGTTCTGTGTAGGAGTCAAGGTTTATCCAAAACCTTACAGATCTGGGATCTGGATTACCTGCCCAAATCACTGAGTTAAGTAGATGAGCCTGTGGGGGCTGCTTATGCTAAATGTGTTTGGTATATGTATTACAAATGTAGAAAGGTTTATCGGTGCTTCCTTACACTAAAGCTGGCCAGCACTTCCTGCTTCACAGCACTTTTCTCCTTCATTTGTTACTTTGAAACTTTTCCCATTTGGACTAGTTTTTTCCCCCATCAATTTTCTACTGCCAGGCTGATTTATGTTTGTGCTGGGTCAAACAAGTCAGTGAAACAGCTGATCTATTCCTAAGATGGTGGGTAGGAGAAAACGATTTGTTCTGTCCTTACTCCAGAACTGGAAACACTTCTGCTGAAATGCCTTCTTGCCTTCATATTTTGGATTAGGACTTAAAATAGAGGTGGGAAGAGATGGGAGGAAAAGGCACGACTTCTGTATTAGCATGTTTTCTACCATTCCCCTTAGAATCTGCACCAGTTTATAAATATTTGCAAGAAAAAGGCAGTAGGAATATGTATGGTAAAGGCTTCTGTCTTCTGAGCAGCTAACATGTATCCTGGTTTCTTCCACACCAGGCTTGTATGAGACTCAGACCTGCTTAAGTTT